AGGTTGAGATTGACAATGAGATTTTAATGGTGGTGAATGCTCAGGGTCTCAAAGAGGAGAGCAATGTGTTGTTGTTTACAGTCTCATGGCTACTTACTACGGCCGCAAGGACTTGGCATCTTCTTCGTCTTTTTTATTTCTTTTTTTCCTTGATAAGTTCACACTCGTCTATTGTTAACAGCATTTGATTTGTACTATAAGGATTTGCTGTGCTTGGAGTTCAAGTGGGTGAGATTATCAGAGGCTTGTGTTTGGGCTTCAGTGTTGCTGCATGGGCCCAAAACGGGGGAATTATTGACTGATAAGGCAAGGTCTGAAGGCGCCAGCTTGCTTTCTAGAACTGCGAGTATTCGTCACAGGCGGAGATTTGAGCAGAAATTAGGGTTTCCTTGGTTGGATTGTGCGCGTGTATCTGATAAAATGTAAGGAAAATAGTTTTTACCTAAATGGAGGTAAAAATCAGAGTAAAGGGGATACATGCTATGGTGTGTGACAATGAAATTTGGGTAGTGTGTAAAGAGGTGGGACCAAGGATCAAATACTTTTCATAGTACCAAAGAAAAGGGTAAAAAAAGAGATAAAAGTAGATTATTCCATGTGGATTTGGATCCTCTCCACTACAAAAAAGCAGTGGGGAGACCGCTATTTTTAATCTCAATCGTTGATTATTTAGCAGACGCTTATGATACAATCTAAATCTAACACTTACCATACCCCCGTGTATTGCACTCATTCATAATTTGCACTAAAAGAAAAAATCACAACCATCAACTAGATAATCAATGGATGTGATTATGTAGTGGTCCCTCCACTATTTTTTTGTAGTGGAGAGGATCAGAATCCATTCCACGTATATCAGAAGACCAACTATACGGAGTAGGAGATGCGGTAGGTATCCTATCAGAACCTCATCTACGGGAATTAGGTGGTTTACACAATCGACAGAATAACTAAAATACCTAAACTAACAAGTTACTTGCTGCCATGAATGGTATGATCATTTCGTTTTATCGATGTTCTAAACTTCTAATGTAGTCTTTGCTCCTGGGGATGAAACAAAAGCATTGCTCTACGAAATATACTACCTAAGATCCTCTAGAGAATGTGTGGGGAGGAAGAAAAGGGTGGCATATGATATAAGTTCTTATATGACCCATTGTTTCAATTATATCCTCAAATCCATAATCTTTGTTTTAAGCTAGCTAGCTATAATCATTTATCTCTGACTATACTATCATACTCGAAGCAAATTTTTTTCTTAATGTGAATGCATCAGGTAGACGCTTGAACGATTGACATGAAGGATGAATAAAAGCCTTAAAAACAATGATTTTACTTCCTTTTCCCATAGAAATCCCTTCTCTGTTCATGGGAGCTATTTTCATCCGAATGTGTGACAGTTCTCTCCTACGACTTTCTTCGTCCATACGCATGCTCAGGTTCTCGAGCTGAAAAATCTGAAACAGAGGAGTTCAGTATTTGTTCTTTCTGATGAATTGTCCTTTCAGCAAACGCATAGTAAATCATATGAATTGCTAGTGCCTACTGCCACCGCACCAAACTGCTGGTAGACGAAATTCATTGTGGCCACCGGTCAGTTCCTACAATAAAAAATCGAACACATTTTCAAAGGGGTTAATGAAAATTTTATACTAGCACTCAAACTTCTGTCGAGATTAATTCATCTTCTCGTTATCTATACATATATTGTCCGCCAACAAGAATACAAAGTCCTTATACTCTCTGCAACATAAATGTCACGATGACACCCACATGACAAATACAAATATCGAAATATAATTTTCTTCAGGCATCAGGATACGTAAATAATTTAATAGAAAAATATAGAAGATTGTATGTTGCTAGCTCGTATCAAAATGATACCAACCTTGTGAGGATGTTGGTGTCGAATTTAAAGTGTCAATACATCCTACTTATCTGATTTTTGCTTGCATATATTGTCACTTGATCTAGTTACCAAACTAATCATGATATGATCATAGCAGTTTAGATTCACATCATGATTAAAAAGGCTGTAAGCAAGCAACATCTTCATCATCAACATATGTTGACTGTTGAGCAACACCCAACTATTTTTATGTACGGAGATGTTTAGCACTCAATTAGGGTGAAGCATTTTGTCATTGAAGTGTTTGATTGTATATGTTAGCAACCTGATTGAAATTTTGTGCTACTGCAAGTTCAACATTAACAACAACATATTAACAAATTCGTTATTGTGAATCTTTCTTTAGGTCAAATCTAACAAGGAGATGGTCACACTAGATCAGTCTCAATCTAATTCGAGTTATTTTCTTCTGTTTTATATCATATGGCCAGAAAATATGTGTATGATATAATGCGCTATCTGAGAGTACTTTAGCTCGTGCTACTAGAATTTTTAAGGTTTTATTATTTTAATTTTATTTTTAACGAAAATGTTATGTCAAATTCGATCTACGTACTCAAGGAGATAATTGCATGCATAAAGACATTCCTATCGCCCAATTGCGGAAATGCTCTGTAATTTTATTATTGTAGACAGACCCATGGAGTGATTTTTTTTCATTTTTCATTTTTCATTTTAATTTTTATATATTTATTTATTACTTTTTTTGCTCTTATACCCATAAGAGGTCTAGCTACTTTTCAAAAAAAAAATCTTTTTCTCGAAAAAGAGTCAAAAAAGAATTCACTGAAGAGATCTGTCTACAGTATAATAGAACTACAGGGGCATCTATCCTCAATTGGGCGATAGTAAAAAAGGTTTTATATGCAATTAACCCAAAGCAAATATGGCAAATTCTTAATATATGACTTGAAGGATGTAAGTTCTAAAAACTCTAACGATGAGTGGACTTCATGAGACTACTTTGTAAATATATTAATTAGCTTAAAGTAATACAATTCTCTACAATAATTCATCATCTATGATAAATGTAAATGAGATAGATGTAAACTTTTAAGAAGGGGTCCATGCATGATGCATCCATCCATAACAAGAAAGCTAATCAACATGATCTAAAGAGCACAAAGAAAGAAAAGTGTCTTAAGAAAAGTTAATCAAGGGCTTCTTTATTTATTCCACAAGATATACAGCT